CCACTCACCCCAACCGGTCGAGGCAGAAGGCCGCCCACCAAGAGCCGGGGTCTGTCGGAGGTTTCTTCCGTTAACGGGAGTTTTTCCTCCCCACTGTCGCCAAGTGCTTGCTCAAGGGGGGTTTGTTGGGTTTTCCCTATGTAATAATATTGATAACAGTAAGGTCTAGACCTTACTTTGTAAAGTGTCCTGAGATGACTTTTGTTGTGATTTGGCGCTATACAAATAAAAATCGAATTCAAGGAACGCGCATTGGCATTTCTAGAGGCCACAAGCTTTAACAACACCAGGAATCAGTTGTGCTCTAACGTAAACACTGTGCTGAACATGTTTTGCTTCCTCACCACACACCTTTCTTTCCTCTTCAGTCTGATTTCTTCTCGGGCGAGGCAGGCAGCCTTCCTGCTGTACGGGTGAACAACCTTCTCAGCAGCTTTTCCTTTCTGAACCTTTGGCTGAAAATAGAAAACATTACAGTCGCAAATTTCACCAAGCGTAAAATTATTGAGCTCGTAATTAAACTCGCGGAGAGAGTGCTTTATTTAGTGATACTGAGTGTTTCCCAAACAGAAACAAGTTGTCAGCATCTGTATATTTTAGCCTTACCATTTTAACTGTTCGTAAACGCGTGGTCCTGCTCTGTTGACGTCGGAACCGGAAGCGGTGTGGTCCGTCATCAAATTGTGTGTGGAAGGGGAAAAAAAAACATGGTTCCGTTTTCTAGTGTGTCATAAGCACATTTAAAAATATATTATTCAAAACACATTTGCATCTGTATTAGTCATTAAAGTAATTCGCTTAAAAATTGGTAGTATGATATTTAATATTAATCAAGAAAACAAAAATCACTGATCTCATAGTAGCCTGTTTAAGTCAGTACGTAAATAGACTTTGGGTGTCCAGACTTTTATATTGTTAGGTATTTTTTAGTCAGATAGAAATTGGTTAGATACTTGTTGTATTAGAAATGTTTAGTGGAGACAGGATGTCTAGTTTAAACGCTTAGTCATTGTCATGAGATTTTAGCAGGGTGTACGTGGGCAAAGATAACGAGATAGAAAAGTTTGATTGTCAGCAGGCAGGATGAGTATTGTTATTATTATGATATGTTCAGCCTAATCTTAATCATAATATCGTCCTAGGCTTAATGTCAGGTCATGTCCCTGAATGTCCTGTATGTTCTTAGATACACACCACTTAATCAACACTCACACACATTGATTTTCTCCAGTGTTTTGACTACTGCTACAGTCAGCTGTAAAGTTGGCATATCAGGTGACGTCACGGTTTGACGTCCCTGGGTAGAATGGGGTTAGCCCAAACCAGATATAATGTACAGGTCTGTTGGGTTCGGGGTCTTTCATTCTTCATCTGCCTGCGTGCAGTATTGGAGGTGGAAGATACCTGTGATCCTTTGAATAAACCAGCACGGTTTTTTGTATCTACTGGGCCCGCATCGTCTCTCTGAGTTTTACTGGTTGAGCGTAACTGGGAAGAAATAGCTTTCAATATAATCTACATTTACATAAAGGTTTAAGAATTAACATCTGTTTGCTGCAGGAGCGGATTCTTTTCACTTCAAAAATCAACTATATGCAGTGTAATTTACCCAAACTTTGCAATGACTCTGTGTGTGTTTCAGAAGCTTTACTGTGTAATACTTTTACTATGAGGTTTGGTTTGAGAAAGTTCATTGAAAATAGAATTTCTTTCAAGGTTATTCAAGTCATTATAATGTCCTGGGCATAAGATAAAAGTAGAAAAAAGTCACCCTACTTTTCTAGGTTCAGATTATGGAGATTATTTCTGGACTATGGGGTAGGACTGGATAAGTCTGACTTCTTCCTACTCCATTCAAACATGTACTAGGTATAAGCAAACTGATTCTGGATTAGTATTGGTTGGATTTGTGTAATTATGTGTGTGTTGATGTCATTGTTCTGCATGTTTGAAAGAATAAATCAAATCAAATCAAAATCAAGTAACTAAATACATTTACTCAAACATGCAATGTTGAGGTGTCTTTATTTTATGAGAAAAATAAATTGAAACAGGAACACTTAAAAAAAAACCAACATGGTAAAATGAGTGGGTTGTGGTAGAAAAAGAATCTACTTTAGGAATTCAAATGGGTGGTTGATAATAAAAATGCCTTTAATAACAAAAATTCTATTTTCAATGAACTTTCTCAAACCAAACCTCATAGTAAAAGTATTACACAGTAAAGCTTCTGAAACACACACAGAGTCATTGCAAAGTTTGGGTAAATTACACTGCATATAGTTGATTTTTGAAGTGAAAAGAATCCGCTCCTGCAGCAAACAGATGTTAATTCTTAAACCTTTATGTAAATGTAGATTATATTGAAAGCTATTTCTTCCCAGTTACGCTCAACCAGTAAAACTCAGAGAGACGATGCGGGCCCAGTAGATACAAAAAACCGTGCTGGTTTATTCAAAGGATCACAGGTATCTTCCACCTCCAATACTGCACGCAGGCAGATGAAGAATGAAAGACCCCGAACCCAACAGACCTGTACATTATATCTGGTTTGGGCTAACCCCATTCTACCCAGGGACGTCAAACCGTGACGTCACCTGATATGCCAACTTTACAGCTGACTGTAGCAGTAGTCAAAACACTGGAGAAAATCAATGTGTGTGAGTGTTGATTAAGTGGTGTGTATCTAAGAACATACAGGACATTCAGGGACATGACCTGACATTAAGCCTAGGACGATATTATGATTAAGATTAGGCTGAACATATCATAATAATAACAATACTCATCCTGCCTGCTGACAATCAAACTTTTCTATCTCGTTATCTTTGCCCACGTACACCCTGCTAAAATCTCATGACAATGACTAAGCGTTTAAACTAGACATCCTGTCTCCACTAAACATTTCTAATACAACAAGTATCTAACCAATTTCTATCTGACTAAAAAATACCTAACAATATAAAAGTCTGGACACCCAAAGTCTATTTACGTACTGACTTAAACAGGCTACTATGAGATCAGTGATTTTTGTTTTCTTGATTAATATTAAATATCATACTACCAATTTTTAAGCGAATTACTTTAATGACTAATACAGATGCAAATGTGTTTTGAATAATATATTTTTAAATGTGCTTATGACACACTAGAAAACGGAACCATGTTTTTTTTTCCCCTTCCACACACAATTTGATGACGGACCACACCGCTTCCGGTTCCGACGTCAACAGAGCTGGACCACGCGTTTACGAACAGTTAAAATGGTAAGGCTAAAATATACAGATGCTGACAACTTGTTTCTGTTTGGGAAACACTCAGTATCACTAAATAAAGCACTCTCTCCGCGAGTTTAATTACGAGCTCAATAATTTTACGCTTGGTGAAATTTGCGACTGTAATGTTTTCTATTTTCAGCCAAAGGTTCAGAAAGGAAAAGCTGCTGAGAAGGTTGTTCACCCGTACAGCAGGAAGGCTGCCTGCCTCGCCCGAGAAGAAATCAGACTGAAGAGGAAAGAAAGGTGTGTGGTGAGGAAGCAAAACATGTTCAGCACAGTGTTTACGTTAGAGCACAACTGATTCCTGGTGTTGTTAAAGCTTGTGGCCTCTAGAAATGCCAATGCGCGTTCCTTGAATTCGATTTTTATTTGTATAGCGCCAAATCACAACAAAAGTCATCTCAGGACACTTTACAAAGTAAGGTCTAGACCTTACTGTTATCAATATTATTACATAGGGAAAACCCAACAAACCCCCCTTGAGCAAGCACTTGGCGACAGTGGGGAGGAAAAACTCCCGTTAACGGAAGAAACCTCCGACAGACCCC